ACTACTATTAACAATAAGACAACAACAATCTTGGAAAGGACTTGAAAGGTAGACAAAAATGCCAAATCAAGCCTGAACTTCTGGCAGACTATGTGCAATGAACCATAATAATAATAATCTGCATTCAGAGAAATTCCCTAGCCTGACATGTTTTTAGCTATTACCTAAATTTTTCTGCCAATGTTTGTGTGACAAATTCATACCATGTATTCAGAAATATTAAGAATCAATGTACAGAGATATATAAATCTAGAAAGAATTTTAATGCAAACAACATATACTTCTATCTTTTCTCTTAAAATATGGACAACAGAAAGTTTTTTTTAAATTAAATACTATTATTTAATATTTATGTTAGTCTGTATATGTAATGAAAAAAAAACTGCCATCCTGAAAAGTTCAGCACCCAAGTTATGTGATATTACAACTTCCTGCTCAAGTAGAACATGAAAAGCAACTTATAGCATGAAAGAAACTCATAACATTCAAAAGAAAAATAAAACATCTAACATGTAAACAGACAATTCATCAAAAACAAAAGGTTTGTTTTTAGTTATGAAGATATGTGTCTGAAATATTTTTTTTTCTAAAGGCATAAGGAACAAAAGCAACCTTGCCCATCACAAACCACAGAAATCTTTATAGGGCCTTTATAGGGACTCTTGCAGATCTAAATATGCAGATGCAGAACAAGATACTTCTGCCCTAATCCATTTGAGTCTTAAAGTTTATATCAATATGTTAAATGAGGCCCTCAACAAACAGCAATGAATGCAGCTGTCTAAACAGCCCCATATGATTTCAATGTGTTTAATTAATTGAATGGGGATTGTCTTTAATTCTCACAATCCCCAATCAGATTATGGGAGATTATCAAATTTGGTGAAAGCTGCTTTACATACTGTGCCTTTTCTTGGAGAGTCTCAAACCATAACTCAAATTGTTCATTTATTTCACCTTCACTATAAGCTGATATTGTATCAGTTTTAGGGGAATTAAGTTCCTTGTGAAATTAACAGAGGAGGATGCTGGTTTCCTGGGCCATCCCCTTCCTCCATTTCATCATAGCCGAAAAAGATGCTTTTTGCAAAAGGCCTCCTTCATGTCCTGCAGTATACTTGAAAGTGAACCTTTGCCACTGCAGAGATCAAAACCAAAACAAGCAGCTTTCCAGGAATGATGGCATCTGACTGTTCATTGCTGGCTTTTCAATCAGCACCTAAGACTATGGCTCCGATGCCTGGTATTGCTGTGCAACATTTAGAAAGCCACACTTGTATTCTGCAACAGCAATCACACTCAATTCTGAGTTCAGGCGTAACTAGGTTAGAATGTTGCCCAGCCCTTTGCTAGCAGATGATGGTGATAACATAATCAAATCGACACCGCCTTAGATATTTAAAACAGAGCTGCCCAGTCCAGGGCCTCAGATCAAAACTCGGGTGGCCCAAATAAATCTTCCATTGTCTCTTATGCCAGAGAGCAATCTACAACTACTCCAGGGAACAAGGCAGGATGGCGCGTAAGGGACCCAAATTACATACAACTTTTAAGACCTGACTACAATTTGAAGACCAATTGAGAGATCTGGAAAGAAAAACTCAGGATGCAGCAGCTAAATGCAGAGAGGAGAAAATGGGGAGGGGACAGGTGAGGACAAAGAGCAGGAGAGGATCCACAGACAGACAGACACACACAAACACCTTCTCCAAAAAGATCCTCCAAAAATGTCAGCCTGTTATCAGGCCTGGTGGGATTTGAAATCCCAAACATGTAAAGGTCTCCAGCTGAATTGCAAAAATGCAGAACGGATAGCAAAAGGGGACCGGGGGGAATGGGGGGGGGGCAGGTATAAAACTCCCACCAAAGCAAAGGAGGTAGGAAACACACACACACACACACACACACACACACACACACACCAAACGCAGAGTGGAGAATCCCGCGTTCTGCGAAAGCCCGCAAGAAGGGCACTTACTATCGGTCGCCATCGCTGCTTACTGTGGTTGAAGGAGACCCACTTTTCCAACCGAGGACTTGCGGAGGGGCGGCGACAATCGCTTCTCAGCCACCTGCTTTCCCAGCTCGCCGCCGCAGCAGCAGCCGCTTTTCCATTAATCGGGAAGGAGGTGCATCCTTTTTAATCCCTTACTTCGCTCCCTTCCCTCCAGGAAAAGAAGGGGAGGGGAGGGGAGGGAGCGGATTTTACGCACGCGCTAGCCGGGACTCTGTACCTCGGCAGGCGCGTGCCGGAGGGGCGGCCTGCGGAAGCGCCGGGCTTCTGCAGGAGGCTCGGCACGTGCTGCGGAGTCCCTCCTCTCCCTCCGGCTCAAAGACCCGGGTGGAATCGGAAGGCTGGAAGGTACCGATGCCCCTCCTTAAGTGGCTGTTGCTGGCCCTCCGCCTCGCAGTCATCGGAAAGGTTTCCTGGAATGTTTGCAATAAATGCGCAAAGAATGAATGAAAATTCTATAGAAAAATCTAGCCTTACAGGAAAACAATTGCTTGGATCGATTTATATTATCAGCCCCCCACACACACACACACACGTTTCCTATTCATTTTTTTCCCCTCTTCAGTCATGTCCAGTTCTTAAGAGACTGCCTGGACAGTTTTCCTAGCAAGATTTTCAGAATCCAGGGCTGAGAGAAAGTGACTGGGTCCAACCTCAACTCAGCTGACTTCATGCCTAAACAGACGAGACGAGACTAGACTAGAGCCCAGGCACCTGATTTCTAGTCTGATGCCTTAACTGATGCACTAAACTGGCTCTACATTTTATTTAATATGGTGCAAAACTGATCCATACAAAATGATTAGCTTCATTCTTATCAAGAGGATTTGCAACAATCAAGAACTTTGCATTGATTTCTTCTCCAACTCCAAACCTGTTAAATGGTGCTGGTGCCTTCCTTCAATCAGATAAATATTCTATAAATTATATTTAAAATTCTTTTCTTGGTAATGAGAGCTTTTAAACTATTAGCCCATTTAATAGGGATGTGAATAGCATCCTCAATCCTTATAAATACAGCAATTTTCAAGGTTGGTTGGGACCTGCTCCAGTAAAATCATAAATCCTAGATATTCTGGGACTTGGGAGTCTCAACTGGTCCAGAGAATGTCAGGTTGAGAAGGCTGACAAAAGGGAAGTTACACACTGAACAAAACCCATCCTATGCTGCAGAGGCTGTGTTTTCCACACAGAAATAGAGCCAGATTAGTTTACATCTCTTCTTGCCAAAGGAAGATTGCAATATCAGGCTTATGACCTCCCTGTGATATCTGACCTGCTCCTACAGCAACAGACATGTTCATATTAATTTCTGACTTACCAGAATTGCTTTAAAAAAAACAAGCACTGATTCTAGTAGCTGCTACTGCCAAAAGCAGATAGTTGTTTTTATTATTGAAATGTGTATGCCACTGAAACAAACTTTCAGCAGTTTATAATAAGATAAAAATGCAATAAAACATCCATAGTAAAAAGAAAAACAAATGCAATAAAATGTCTTGTCATTGTGGAAAAAATATTACAACTCCAATAGCATCACAAGAAGAAAAAACTAACAAATAAAAAGCAAAGGTCAAAACTATAGCTCAAAATAGAAATGCAATAGTTGGCCATTCATATCTCAAAGGCACTCTTTAGAACAGTTCAACTATCACCAGCTTCTGAATTATAGAATCCCAAAAGAGCAAAGAGATCCAAGTTACTTTTTCTGGCTTCATTTTACCCAACTGGGACAATGTTGGCAGCTGTACTGCTTCAAGGTTGCAGGAATACACACGTAGACACCGTACTCAGAAGCTGAAGCAGATAACAGTAGGCAGAAATATAATTTATAAATAAACTTTATTAAATTTTACAGTTAAAATATACAAGCAACACAGATTGGGAAAGAAAAACAACAAAGAAAAAGGGTAAATGATTAAAAATGATTAAATCAACAGTTTTATGGTTTATTTATCTCATTATTTTGTGCCATATTTGCAATTAATCTTTAGTGCAAATATCTAATTACTACTATTGTCACTCCTCATTTACAATTTATTATTATTATATGGTCTATCTTCGGTCTATCCACTCATACCAACAGTTCCAACTCATATAGTACTCTGATAGTTTATTTTTTAGTACTACAGTTAGTTTATCCATTTCTGCACAGCTTGATATTTTCTGAATAATCATTTCCTCTGGTGGAGTATAGGGTTGTTTCCAGCATTGTATGAAGGCCAATCTAGCTGCTGTCAATATATGTAGTATTATATATTTATCTTTTTTGGGGAATTATCTGTTGAGAATCCCTAATAGGAAGAATTCTGATTTAAGTTCAATCTGCTCAGTCGTAATTTCCTCCATCCATTTTTTTATTCTCAGCCAATATCTTTTAGATTCTGTACACGACCACCACATGAGGTAATTTAAATGTCTAGTAGTGTGCTTGCCTGAAAAAAATGCCGATAAAGTCCAAGAATAATAGCACAATCCAAAGTCACAGAAAGCCAGTCAAGTAGTCGGTAGGTCCAAGAATCCCAAACTATTATTCTGAACTGTTGTTTCCAATAGAGACTGGCTGAAATTACTCAGGCCTCAGCCTTTGCTTAGTGAGAAGCCTCATGGCTTTGCTCACTGCTGAATGCTTCCAGACTTGGATGTCTCAGCTGAAGCAACATTGTCAGTGTCTGAATCATAATCTTGGCCCATGACAGCAGTGATTTCTCCTGCAAGCCATCTTCAGACATCTCAACTCTGATTAGAATGGATAGTCTTTGCAGGCACCTTAACCCAGCTTTAAAAGCTAAAAATATCACTTTCAATTTCAACTGGAAACCTATTGATAAGGCTTCCTTCCACATAAAGCCTTTGTCTTAAGATAATATCAATTAGCAACAAACATGCATTTTGCACCAACTGCAGTTTCTGAGTGATCTTTAAAAAAAAGATTGAGTACATAGAGTACAAGTCTTCAAACTTGACAGCTTTAAGACTTGTGGACTTCAACTCCCAGAATTCCTCCTCCAGTCATGTTAGCTCAGGAATTCTGGGAGTCTTAATTCTGGGAGTCCACAAGTCTTAAAGCTGTCGAGTTTGAAGACCCTTGTCATAGAGCTTACCATGATGATAAAGCAATGAATCATGTAACCAGTTTGTGGTTAACTATGATACAGTACATAAACATGGATGGAGGTGTCCAGGTTTGTTAGGCATATTCAACAGCTGCATGCTCAAAGTCAGAATTCTTTATCGTTCTGCTTTAGGCCATAAAAGCAGAAATGCCTGTATTTCTGAGAAAGCTATAAGCTTAAGAATTTAAAGTTTTGAAATAAACAACAAAAAGTCAAATAAAGACTTTAACACAAATTTATAAGCAAAACAAAGGACTATGTGTCAGAGAGAGACTGTGTCAATCAGAAGGAGGGATCAAACAGGGAATCATCACCAAGATACAAGAAGGCAAGGTCTGACACCACCCCACTTAAATACCATTGAACCTTACCTACAGTAGTCTTTCCCAGGGGCAAACTACCAGTCTGGGAAGATTGCTATGAAATGGGCATGGAACAATAAACTAGTAATTTGAATTCTTCACCTGTGGGTAGAGATGGGAAGGACTGGAAAACAGAAAAATTGGGAGAAAAACGGGGGTCTTTTTTTTTTCCAAAGCTGTTTGGAAAAAACTCCTTTTTCCCAATTTTTCCATTTTTTCCCAATTTTTCCCAGACCTTCTTGTCTCTACCAGTGGGTCTGGTCATCAGGCAAATTTTGGAATATTAGAATTTTTGCTATAAGATTTTGAAAATAATTACCAGTAAATAGTACCTTCAGGCGTCAGCTTTAAAATTCAGCTGCCACATTTTTTTTTCCTTTTAGAGAGTTGGAAGAGTTGAAAAGTTCAAGGTTATTCTGTATGTCATATTAAGTAATTCCAGTGGCAGTTAATTGGTGCTCGTGATTTATGAAGTGTAGAAGTGGGAGGAGAGAAGGGAGAAGGTGGATTCTGTGTAAGGCATGAAAATAATTTCACTTGGGAAATTGCCTTTGACATGCCAGAACTGTTTCTAATAAATTCAACCTTGGAGAGAGATGTCTCCGAGTGATTGATATCATGGATACTTTCTGGATGCCTTACATAAGAGGAACTAAATTAGTCTATTTTAAATCATAAGAAATTCCACACTTTTATGATTTTGGAAATTGGACACTAGAGGGCTTAGAGATTCCAGGAAGAAAAGGAAAAAGGAGAGAGAAAGGTTTGCTTTTTGTTTTGGTCAACATTGAAACAAAATAACAGAAAACAATGACATGAAATGTTTTAGGAATCTTTGACATATGGAGTCAAAAAATAGCAGCTACAATGTCAGCACTGTCGTCTGCTTCTATAGATAATTTTTAAAAGATGTTAAAGAACAAATGACAGATGTGAAAAGAGAATACCCTAGAAGATCTAAAGCCTTGAAGAATTCTGAGATGGGAAAAAGAAAATTTGGAGAGAGATCAAATATTCCAACAATCCTACAATGAAATAAAGACTAAAGTGATTAGTAGCAAAAGGAAAGACTATAAAGTTTATTTGTTTAAGGTTAAAACAAGATGTTTCCACATTAAAAAAAATATTTATGGATTTTTTGGCTGGCATCAAGTCTGAATGAAATGTTAATGATTTATGAATTTGCGCATGCATAAGGGATGGGTTATGGGAAGAAGAGATGTAATTATGGGAATTACATTTGCTTTTACAGGCTGTTAGGAAGATCAGAAATGTCTAAATAGTTTTCTTATTTCTTCCTTTTTCTTTACACTTTTATTCCTTATTATTTTTAATTTCTGAGTTTAATTTGTATTGTCTTTTACTACTGTTTTTAAAACAATATCGAAACACAAGCCAGGACAAAAACATGGTTTTTTTCAACTTCTTATAATGCATCACATTTCAGCCTGCCTGCAAATTTCAACCCTTAAGTTTAAGCCTGGGAAGCATTTGGTTTTCTATCTTCTCCTTTGTGACATTCCTTTGTGACAAATCTAGTATCACATAAGGATTTTTCAATCTCATAATAGTTCATTCCCCAAAGTTTTGTAGAAAAAGAAGCATAACCTTGAACAGTGCAAAAATGTTAAATCTTCCGATTCTTCAGAATGTTATTTCATTCTAGGTTCTTCTAACAATAACTTACAATTACAAATAAACCAATGGAAGCAGGAATTATATAAATACATAAAAAGCTGAAATATACATATGCAATGTATTTACAGATCTGTTACTGTCCAGAACAAGAGTTTCTCTTTCATATAATTAATGTAGCTAAAGACTGTATAAAAAATGAAGCCAACTTTTACCAAAATCTATTTTAAGTATGAATAAAGAATCCATTATAATATATGAAGTAAATCATATGTAATACTTGTTAGAATTTATAGCATGTCTTTTCTGCTTCTGTGCCTTCTTAACAAGTGTCCAGTTCACAACATAGCATTGGGTCACTCAGACTGCCTCATCCCTGGCTGGAAAATATGGCTTATTCACACAGATGATTTATGTATCACCATTTCCCTTAAGATGCATTCTTAATGAGCCTTTTTCCTCTTGGTAGGTATGAAATCTGGAATGGAAACAGAAGAAATAAATCATTGTAGCTTATAGGTATGAACAAAAAGAAGTCTATATTCAAATTCTATTTTCTTAATAGGTTTTTTAAATTTACCAATGACAACTATTTTCAATCAACATAAAATACTGATTTTTCTCAATGCATTTCACATGCATTAGTAAATTTAATATTAGATCATTCATGTGCTTAGGGAGAAAATGACCAAATATATTTCATTCTGAATCAATGCAATCGAAAATTACCTGTACACCCTAGCAATTCTGTAACAACCGTATTCAGAAGTATATTGGGTTCTTTGAAATAAAATAATAAATAGACTCCAAATCTTCCATTTTTCCTGGAAACAATGAGATTTCTTTGTGGTTTCTCTCTAGAAATTAACCAGATCTGACCTTGCTTAGCTTTCTGTGATCTGTCTAGGTCAGCTATGTGCTATGCACGCTGTGATGATCTTAAAAGCAGCGCATAACAAGCATTGTTAATAGCTAATTGAGGATTGAATCTTAGGAGGAGGAAGAATGTAGCCCTTGGTGCTCTCTGAGCTTGGTTGTTTGCTTGCTGCAAACATTTAAATTACTAACATCTTCAGTGCTAGGAAGGAGTGAGGTTTGCTGTCTGTTTACATACAGTACCTGTCAGTGTCAATGTTGTTTTTGCTTTGATAGTTCCTTGAGCAGGGTATTCTTTACGGTTTCATTGTTTGGTGTTAGTCTGCAACAAAGTCCTGTTTATCTGAATGTTGAATGCTGACAAGTAGATGTTCTACTCTTTTTGTTTTCTTTTAGTTTTTTCATAAGCTCTTTTGAATGGTGTATAAATATTGCCTGTCTCAGGGGTTCCCAAGCCCTGAGCCACAGACCGGCATTGGGCTGAAGCCCACCAGGAACCAGGCCACACAAGGAAGCAAGCAAAGCTCCATCTGCACGTGTGCGAAAAAACACCCTCCCTGAGCTGCGGAAAACTGCCTTCCACAGAACAGTCCCTGGCAATCAAAAAGTTGGGGACCGCTGGCTTATCTCAATTTGCCTGTTGATGGCTGATTTGTCTGAATGCCAAATTTCCAGGAATTACCTTGTGTTTTTGGATATAGTTTGGTCTAGAACACCTTGTTGAAAAATTGAGTTGTTGAATAACTGAGGAATTACATTACCTATATATGAAAAAGGTGAATGTTTTTCTCCAGTGCAATGTTCTAAAGGGAAACTTCTCAAATGGAAGAGAGAAGTGGTACCTAAGTAGGACTACTCATGTACCTGCTTGTGTCAGAGATAGCTAAGAATGGTGATTTTTGCACTTTCCTTTTTTGTCAGAGCTATTGTGCAGAAGTGTACCACAACATACCTTCATCACTTGAGTGATCATGTTCTTCTTCTTCATCATCATCATCATCTCCAATCACAGGCATATTCAGTCTCTCAATATTTTCCTGTGCCGTTGGTAGTAAAGTTCCTGCAAAAAGCACAAAATTAAAGAGAAATTTTCATTTCAGCTTTACTGAAATTACATTATATCTTTGACAGCCAATCTTATAGGATACCCTTACGTTGGAACAAGCAGCATTTGAGGGATTTGGAACCATAATTCAGCCTTCCAAATTTCCAAATGCTGCATCAAATGGTTAGGGTGTATTCAAGCAAGGGTGCTTGGAATTTTTGCTCCTTTTGAAAGATAGTATGTATTTATGTCTTTTTAACTTCAGTTAGCAACTCTATGCAACTACAAAAGCAACAGCTATTGTAATAGTATCAAAATACAATAACTATTACAGATTATTACAATTAATTGTAAAAATAGTTGTAATATTTCTAAGAACTCTGTAACACTCAGATCTGAAAGGCCTTCTAGAATAGACAACTTTCACAAGCAGGATAAATTTTTGACAGCCATCCTGTTACAGAACTTGTTTTTCTAATAGATCCTCATAGCTGTAAACTTCTACAAAAGCAACATGCAATCTATGCCTTTAGTTAACTTTTGAAGATCAGCAGTTGAATCAGAAGGATTATTTTGGCTTATCTCATAACATATATGTTCCATCTTTGCATACAAAAATACATAAATGATAGACATACCAGCATGCAAATATCCACAATTTCCTTCCCATATGCCCACAACAAGAATCTAAAACCTCATGGCAAAAATATTGTGATATTGAGTTTGCACAACACACTAACTGGCTTGGTTTACTGTGTAACCCGAATCCGTATCATAGATTCAACTGTAGTTACAAAGGATCATAATTCATATCTATAAATTGTTGTTGAGTAGCTTATATAGATTCAATGTATCTTCTAAACCTGGGTTAGTAGCTTAACCAGCCATTACTTCCCAAAAAAATAAAACAAGAAAAATTTCCCCTAACAAAGAGCGCCCCGTAATACTTTATAGACTGCACTGAAACAGGTAGTCCTTGACTTACAATGGGTGACTGTTCACCCCTCAATCCTGAAACCCCCTCAAAAGGGACTTATGATCCATTTTCAAAATTCTGGTGTCAATTTCTCCTGTTGTCATGTGACCACATTTTGCATATTCAGCAACCAGTCTGCATTTGCAGACATTTGCCATACTCTGCAGTCACATAACAGTTTTGCCAGAAACTGGCATTTACTACCTATTTCTGGCAAAAAAAAAAAAAAAAACTCATGGGAAAAAAATTCAATTAACAACTGCTACAAAGAAGGTCATAAAATGGGTCTGGTGACACAGTCACCTGCTTTATAGCCATCATGACTTACAACCATAATTGCCAAGCTCAATTATAGTCCTAACTCAGGACTACCTAATTAAGGACTACCTGTAATCCATTTTACATGGGATTTCCTAAAAGACAATTTGGGAATTGTGGATGGAACAAAATTCAATTGTGAAGTTATCAGAACTTTGAAGATCTACAGGATGCCTATTTGTCACAGAGCCAACTCATATATTTAAATGTTAGAACCTGATTACTTGAAGGAGTATTCCCCTCTGTATTGTCAATTTGGAATCTGAAATTAAATTGGATTAAATTCTTCCCATATCATAATTGCAAAAGCTTTCCCACTAGACAGGACACTGCTACAAATAATGATTTACGGATGAACTCATTTTCTTTCATCAGACATTTTCATCAGTTATGAAATAACATACAAACACACACAGAGAGAGAATTACAGGCAGATTACTTTATAAGACAAGGAAGGACATTGATGAATACATTTAAAAGCGGCAAGCACAATGAAAGGCTCAGGAAGGACACGTATCTATTTTTACTGATTTATCACCCACCTTTATTATCAAATATTTGTATCTCTTGTGTTATGTTACAGCATTCACAATGCTCACAATGCACACTAATTAGAAGGCCTATACACCAGGGGCACTGTAGAAACAGCAACTTCCCCAGATTAATCCTACTATGCTAATTACCTCTCTTTTGCAGACGTTCTGACTTCTTTGGTGTTGGTAAACATTTCCTGATCCTTCTATCCTTAGGCAATCTGGTTTTCCCACGATTTGATCCCGATTCAGAAGATTCCAGCTTAACCTGGCGATGTCGCCTGGACTTTGAAGCCTAAATGGATTTTCAGCCAAAGAAAGTGCAACAAGAAAAATATCCAAGCAATGAATACACAATAATATTGCTCTGAAAGATGATAATCCAATGTATTTATCAAATTAATTCTGCTACTGTATTTGTAAACTGATCATATGTCATGTTCATCAAGAGCATATTTACAACACAAATTAAATCCAAAAACCAAGTCATATGGCATAGGTTTAAAAGTACACTTATGGGGGAAAATCCGTTCTATTAACTATTAGGCTCTACTATCTGCAATTGGGCATACAAGTTTATATACTGTTATGGTACTGCTTCCAGGACAGATGGGGCGGGGGAGAAGGAGATGCAACTTCATAAAGGAAACTTCTACCCAACCCACTAGAGTGGAGAGGCAGAAAATACTATGGATCGTCTTTCCTAAGAAGGTTCATGTAACAGGACCAAGAAGAAGGCTCCTTCCCTGTGGAACATCATCCCATGGAAATAAGATTGGCCCTCATTTTGACACTCTTTTGCAAGGCCCTAAAGACTTTGCCAATGGGCCTGAACCCCAGAGTAGGATGGAACCCACCAAGTGGCTTGTTTGATTGACTGATTGTTGTTGTGGAAGGGATAGATTTTTATTATTTTTATATTGGATTTTCATCTTTGTAAACCACCTGGAGTTTCTTATAGTGAATTGGGCAGCCATATAAATTTCTTAAATAAAATCATGGATTAAAATGGTTTATTGCCTCTTCTGTCCATGGCTACAGGCAGTCCTCAATATACAAGTGTAATTGAGCCTGGAATTACGAGTGTAAGTCATGGCAATCATTAAGTCAGGATTAAGCTGCTAAAAGAAATTGTATGTTGCCAACTTTATGTTTACATACCAGGAAAGCATGTTAAGGGTTACATCCAATGTTACATAAGCAGATTTCTACTTGTCAACAGGACA